GGCGTCTTATTTGTTCTCGGTACCGTAGCGGTTGGCGGCGAGGGTTTCTTCAAGAATTTCAATAACTGCACTAATGTATGTCTGTAGTCGTTAATGCATAGAAGAATGATAGCTGGATCAAGCACTGCTGTTGAAAGTATCAATATTAGAGGCAGGAATGTGAAGATGCTAGAACAGATAGGTAAGAGCCGGACGCAATATCAAGAAGAAGTAACCTTGGCGGTGAAAATCCCAGAATCACGAGGAGAAGCATGGTAGTACGAGGAACGTATGTCAGCGCGAAAGGTATGGATGCCTTGAAATAGTTGTACACTAGCCTTTTACGGCATGGAAGGTGACTCAACCAACATAATTACTTTTTCAAACCTTCCACACCAAATCATTCTTGAAATATGTACTCAACGTCTATTGTATTCATTCTATGATATTATTATTTTTACCTAGCAAAATACTCAGCTAGCTTCCGCCCGAGGTTACGCTGCCATCCAACGAAATAAAAGGGTTCATCATGAATTTGAAGAAAACAAACTTAGAAACTTTGATCAACTGTACCCTCCAGTGTACTTGCTAATCATTCGTCAAACGTGCGTTTTAGAGCGTCTAGAACTTCGCAATTTTTCTCGTGCACATCAACTTTGACCCTCTATTGTTCAGGAGCGGCTGATAATCATAAACTTTTGTGTATTCTTTATCTTATGGTGCACATTGAGTATGAGTGGAGTAAAGTATAGTACTCCATTAAAGAACTCCATGTTCTAACTTATTAGGTAGCTTTACCTGGACTGTCAAAGCTATAAATAGTTGCTTCTGAAGTAGGATAGTTTTCCTACTGAAGCCCTTTTTTCGTAGAACCCTCGCAATCTGTATTCCAAAAAATACCATTGCGGTAAACGTCAAAAAAATCATGAGCAAGAGCATCGACACACCCAGTGTCGGCTTCCAGTAGATTTTTACTTCACGATTGATTACTTCCTGTAAACAAATCTACTAAGAATTCCTCTTGTCCAAAAATAGACAGAATTATCTTTTCTTTACACTCACATGCGTCAATACACAGTAATATGACATCTCATTCAGGTCACGGTGAAGGGTATTACGAACGGCTTTTGCAGCATAATTATAATGTTCTATGCTAGGTTCATAACAATACACCACAACAAAAATGTGTAGGAGGCCCCAGAAGAAAATGGGGATGGACCACAGAGCAAGATTGAACTTCTCAAAGATCTGCTGGCTCTGCGGCCTGTAAATTATGATCAAGCACCATTATGTATCTGACGTATCGTGTTTTTCGTAAAAATTGATAGATGCGGTATTTCCACTGACCTGCATACTAAGACGTAGCGATAAAGGAAATGCAGAAGCAATAGCGCTGTTTCCATTCCGTGCATGGAGAAGAAGATGTATCCCAACCATGTTTCAAATAGCGACATATTGCCAAAATATCCATTGTTATAGATTAGAAGCGAATGTCCATATATGTAATTAAGCTGAAACATGTAAACACTGATGTGAAAGTTGTGATGAACTGCATAAGAAGTGCAAATTTCAAGAAGAAGTATGACATAAAAAGGTTGAAGCCTACCGGTTTTGTGAGAAATTCCAGACACGAGTAAACAATGTTAAAAATACCAAAGGATACCAAGAGATATCTGTAGGTGCCAATAGTTTTCTGTCCTCTCTTGAACGTTATGTAGATGAACAAAGTATTGAGAATTACAGCCACCACAGCGATTGTTGTAGAAGCAGGAACCAGAATGCTCTTTGCGTTCATTGCAGGCTAGAAATTCCAGAAATTTTGTAAGGATGCTTCACTTTGACGAAAACAAAGGTAAAGGAAATCTAGGTACTCAAACAAATATTAATGCCATAATTGCACTTCCGTAAGGATAAAATAGCTTTTTGAGGACTTGACTGATAAGCTTACAAGTTACGAACTTCAGTTCAATAGGTATTCAATTTATGCCATTATTCCGCAGAACTTAGACGACTGGTAAACGTTTGACCATATATTTCTTTCCTCTGCAACAATTTGAAGATAATATTGGTAGTGGCTATCTTATTTGTTGAAAAATTCTACAGCAAAATGAACTCCTGATTATATTATAGCAAGTGAACCGTAAGACAATTATTGGGAAGTGGCGTTCGCTGTACAGTGACAATTCAACGCACAATTCTGGTTAGACTCTTATTTGAAGTGTCTGGATGTGTAAACAGAATAACAAAAGCAACGGATACATTTAGATGCAATAACTTTGTATCTACAACTGTCGACAGGCGCGTTTGTCATCAGGATATAAGTATACTTCATATCCAACGGCTTATTTGAAAGCTGTAATTACAAAAATCACCTGAACCCAGTAGTATTTAAACAAGTTCTATTAGCAAAAAGCTATTTTCTGCAATACAAGATGAGTCCTAAAGATGCTATATTAGTTGACCGTGACGCACGACAACTGCCATAGCCTGCTAGAACAAACAAAATATATTTCAGATGGTTTAGCCACTTAGTTTGCCTATGATTATATGAATTGAATTTGGCAAATAAGCAAATGCAAAAAGAGGTTTTTTTTCGTAAATGTACGCAAGTGGCGTGCAAAAAGATGATTGTTAAGAGCATTATTGTATGCTGATAGAGCGGACGACGCTTAGAAGTTCAGTCATTTCTAGCATATAGCACTCATGGTTAGACACACTCTTAACATATTATAGTCTACTTGCGGGCATGCCGTTGCTCCTCTTAGGCAAAAATGGAAGCTTTATGCTTTGGCTAAATTATCATACGACAAAAAATTTTTGTTTATGATGTGATCAGATTTGTGATTGTAGCCCGATTATAGTCTGCTGAGGTGATAGTTTGACGCTCTAATTCATGACATTCCAAATGCTCAAAACAATCAGCAAAGTTCCTATAGTCGCAGGTCTAATAACAGTTTTCCGTGAAAAATTAGGCTTAGACCATAGCTACTGCAGACAACAAAAGTTTTCAATGAACGAACTTCTACGTCTACTTGAGCCAGGATGGCCTAACAAAGTGAGACATTAATCGTCGCATGTAGCACATACCTGTGATTTAAGGTACCAAGAGATACTTTGAAGCTCGTAGTAAATTTCCGCCACCATTTACCACCTCAGAGGGTGGGGGCCTAGGTTAACTTTACAGCGTCTTAGCCCTGAATCAATCAAGCCGGTCTTTGATGCGCTGGTTATGAGTGTACACATTTCCTAAGAGAACGTTGTGCAAGCCAGATTTTGACCAAGTGAAGTTATTGCGCCTGAATAGAGAGGGCAGCTTATAACGTCAGTGGCGACATTTCCGCAGCAATACAAAAATAGATGTCGACCATCATCGCATATTTCGGCTACAGAACCGAGGTAAGTAAAAGTTTATGTTATTATGGAGGCAGATTTGATTGAAATTCATGATTTATACATCATTCAAAGTTTCTTGAATCAAATTTTTGAATGAAAGTGAGATCCTTGAACCTACCTGAGACTTTTCACTAAAATCACAGCGAAGATTCAATGATAAACGAAAGATCATATTCTAGATCTCATCAGAAGCTCATCGTTTTTCTCCTACCCTCTGATTCAACGAGATTGGCAGCTGGTGGATGGGCTCACTTCCTCGCGGCCGCCTCTCCTGGCTCTGCCCTCTTTCGCTTTCGTGCCTCCCAGTGATAGAAGCCCCGCCTCTCCCACGTTCGTGATGGGAAAGTAATTAGCGAGCGTACTCACGAAAGAGTCTCATTATTGCAAGATAAATAACATGAATGGTGAAGGTCAAAATCATGCAAAATGCAACTAATACAAATTCGTAAATGTTTATATGATAGTCGGGAATTCAAAGTCTCAACTGATTTCGAATACTCGATAGTCGAATATTCAAACTCATTCATTGAACAGTATTTGATATCGAATATTTGAAAAATCTCGATTTCGAATAGTATCCGATATTCAAACGAAAAATCACACTCCGAGTATACTACTTTACATCGTTCAGTTGAGAAATTAAGCAAGTGGGGTGTGGATCTTGCTCAATGAATTTTCATGCACACGTGTGGCATGATCATGTAGGTTTTGATAAACTGTAAGCAACTAGCATCGTATTGTTGAAACGGTCACAATCCAATATTTTGGAAGGTACTCCAGACATTAAGGGCATTTTCTTCCTTGTGCAAAAAGAATTTTTTACTTGGCTTATCTGTTCATACTCTATTCAATAATTTATCAGAGTTGTTGCGTATCCTATAAATGGTGAAAAACGACAGCTTTTGTTGTGCGAGTGTTCCATGGTCTGTTCTCTTATCTGGTCTAGCATGGAACTGCTAAATGTCGGTGCATAGTATATCATATTTCTATGTGCATATAATTCCTTTATTCCTTTATTGATGTAACAAATATGTGACACATTAATCTTTGTCAAAGCAAAGGAGTTTCTCAGAATTTATCAAACAACTGAAGAATAAGAATTTTGCTAGGTTTGTAGGTGTCGCGTATCGTCTATTCAACAAATCAAATATATAGTATAATATATTCATTTCTTTTGTCCTTTGGGAATGTCAAAGTTCCGAAGATGCATGTTCAACACTAGTGCGTATCTTATCTCATGACAATAAATCAAAACTATAGATATTTAAACAAAACAACCCTTACTCATGCTTTGTTGACTTATGATTCGGTGTGATGGTGCCGGCGAACTCGGTCCCTCGATTTCATTTGCTTTTTCATAAAATCAAAAGTGATTCTTTTGCTCAAAACGCTCATTAAGTAGGTTTGAGGACATTTTTGTATGGTACGCTGTATGCTCGAGGGTTTTGCTGTGTGGCAGTGCAATTCAAAAGTATCCGAAACATAGTTATTCGCAACGCAATAAAAGGATTGTAGGGAAGAAGCTGCAACGTGTCATAATGATAGGAAACACATGCGCATGCAATGACGGTAACGCTGCTTACTGATCATTGCGCTCAAAACGATTAGTCATGAAATTTTAAAAAGAATCACTTTTGTACTGTCTTGGTGGTACTGAGTACAATTGTGACCGTTGGCACAATTACAGTGGAACGTATAGGGTTCTTGATAAACTGCAAAACCAAGCATCTATAGTCGCTAATGCATAGAATTATAGCAAATGGGTCCAGTACAGTGATGGAAAGCGTTATGACCAGAGGTGTGAATCTGAGAATGCTAAAAGTATGAGTGTTACTTTGGATGAAGCATATTCCAAGAATAAGAACCTTGGTAGTGAGATACCCATGATTGGCAGAAGAAGGGTTATAGTACGTGGGATGTACGTCAGTACCAATGGAATAAGCGCCTGGAGGAATAGAACAATTTCATAAGTACCAATGAGCTGCGGTCACTCCAAAGTAAGTTGCCCACACATTGAAGGCAGCGCCAGGCAAATCCAGGGGACATGCAATAATGCTGACTTTGTGCGCCTAACTATACGGCATTAGCCTCCAAAACTAGACCGTAGCGCATTAACACACGACTTGCATCGTGCTTGATGCTATCGACCCACATGAAACTTTTGGGTTGTGGTATGAAAACATGCGAGCATAATGCAAGTCGTCCATTGATACGATGATAAGATCTCGTTTGAAGACGAATATTCCAGCTGCGAGTGCGCCATCTGAGCTGCCGCTTGAGCATTGGTTAACCAGGACCCCAAAAATACTTTCCTTGTGAGATCTTCATATCCAGATTCGTATTGACGCTGCCATCAATCATTTAGCTATCTCAACACTCACCTGAAATGCTAACGCTATAAGCAATTGCTTTTGCAGCTTTATCGTTTTCTGGCTCAGTCCTTTGTTCTGTAAAGCTTTTGCAGTCTTTACGCCAAAAAGCACCATAACGGTAAAGGTTGTAAGCATCATGAATAAAATCATAGATAAACCCAATGTTGGCTTCCAATAAAGTCTAACTTCTCCGTCGATGAAATCCTTAAAATCCTGCATCTACTAAGCAGAAATTGATTCAATAACAATAATGACTCTCACATTCCATAGGCAACATACTTACATGCGTCAATAAGCAATAAAATATGAATTTGTTCAAGTCTCGATGCAGATAGTTTTGTACAGCTTCCGCAGCATAGTCGTAGTACTCGTTGCTGGGTTGATAACAGTATACGACAACAAAAATATGAGGGAGAGCCCAAAGAAAAACTGGAATAGTCCATAAAACAAGATTGAAGTTCTCGAAGTACAAGCGCTTTTGTGGTCTTAATTTAATGCATTTCAGAAGCGATTGACAAACTGTGCAGCTCCAATCCACTTCATCGTTTCATCAATCTTACTTGCAGACCAGAATGTAGCGATAAAGAAAGTGCAAGACTAGCAATGCTGTATGTATTCCATTCATGGAAAACAACATATAGCCCAAAGTTGCTTCAAACCACTGTATATTTCCAAAATATCCGTTGAAGTAGACCATGATTGAATGTCCATATATGTAAACAGACTAAAATCGAAAAAGGATAATGTAAGCTACCTATTACACAGATGACATGTTTAAATGAATCCAAAAATGAGGAGAGACAAGAAAACCTTAACATGTTATTGCATTAACGAGCTATATGCCAAATTTCGGAGCCAAATTTTTCAAATACACTTTTTCGACTTTTTGCTTTGGGAAATGATAAGTTTATACATTGTTTGAAATCTCGGGTTTGTAAGTATGCACCAGTAAGCAAACATTTTGAAAAAGCTCACTGTTAGATTTTCTGTGAATTTTCTACAAACATCTCCATCAATTTCCAACCCCCTTGACACCACGGATCCCCCTCTCAGGGGGATTTAAGCCGGTTAATCGCGAAACTACGTGGAGCGTCCCCCAGGCAGCGGATAGGGGGCCAATCGCCGACCAAAAGCGACCCTCGCCTGCTCTGATAGGCAAGCGGAGCCGGAGGAGGGACGAACTCCATAAAAAGGTCGCACACCTGTTTTTGATATGTGAAGCATAGTTGCGATAGGGGGAGTGATGGATCTTGCCCCCTTCACTTTGAGGCCAAACTACCAAACTACCCCTTCACCTGGGCTGAGATTGGTAATGTACTCGAGAATATGATAAAAATCGTTATTAAAAGGTTTTGCAGGCTAAGTACCTCAAACATCAAGTACACTCATAAATTTACAAAAGAAACGCTATTTATGTTTATTTATATTATTTATTTATCCTCGTAGCATTCATTTGGAGAGCAGAAAGTGAGGACACAAAATCAGTTAATTTTTGAAGCACACAAAATCCCTCATATCTCGCGGCACAGAAAATTTAGAAAAAAGTCGACGGTCTACGTCGATTCTCCATGATCTCAGCTTTCGAATGGTATAAAGCATGTTAGGGCTTTTTTGCTTTCCGGCTCTAAAAATCATGTGCTCCGGTAACCGATAAAAGTCAATACATTGGTGGAGCTGGGTGGAGCAAGCTAATAGTAAATATCTCCACCCCATTTTTGAAAACTGGTTAGACTTTCGCCCAGCAACTTGTATACCATTCGAAAGCTCAGGGAAAGGGGATCTTCTAGCCCCCCTCTACCGAGAGATACACCGCATTTTATCTGAAAACATGGTCATTTTCAACAGCAGATTTCTACCAAATGAAGTCCTAATCACTGCTGATTATCTATCTGTGTTAAAGAGCAAGTCTTCATTAACAAACGTAGACCGTCGACTTTCTCGTAGCGTTTATTTGGAGAGCAGAAAGTGAGGACACAAAATCAGTTAATTTTTGAAGCACACAAAATCCCTCATATCTCGCGGCACAGAAGATTTAGAAAAAAGTCGACGGTCTACGTCGATTCTCCATGATCTCAGCTTGATCTCAGCTGATCCCAACCGATTTGACTGCTTTCACTTTTATGTGAAAGGGTAAGTCACTCTTTGTAATGACATTTCAGCTGCTTAGTAGTGGTCATCTGTTGCATAGATAGGAGCGATAGAAGAAAATTGGTCAAAATTTGAATTTTCTGTGTAGGGCCATGAAAAATTGGAGACTTGCAACAAAAATCGAAGCAATCAGTGTTGTAGGTTCCTTCACTAGCTCTTTCTGACAGTGCAAAGTTGCGCTGATGGAAAGTCTCTATGAAAAGTTATGATTTTCGAGCAAGCAATACGAAAGGGAGAATTTGGTTTATTTTGGCATTTTTTAGGGAAATCATAACTTTTCATAGAGACGCTCCATCGGCGCAAACTTTGCATTGTTAGAAAGAGCTGGTGAAAGAACCTACAATACGGACTGCTCCGATTTTTGTTGCAAGTCTCCGATTTGACCCTACACAGAAAATTCAAATTTTGATTTTCTTCTATCGCTCCTATCTATGCAACAGATGAACATTACTAAGCAGCTGAGATGTCATTATAAAGAGCATGACTTACCCTTTCACATAAAAGTGAAAGCAGTCAAATCGGTTGGAAAAATCAGAAATTATGAATTTTTGAAAATCGTGCGCAAAAACTTTCGGGACGACCTAATAAGAGCGAGGTGGAGCAAGTTAATAATAAAAAATGTGCTGTGGATTGACATCGTTATCAGCACTAACGGGAACGTGAGCGAACGCGTCTATTTAAGCGTGTTTATCGTTGTTATATGTTTATGTTTTTTTGGTAAAAAATGCGCTTTTGATTGACAGTTATGCCATCATTGTTAGCACACACTCAAAAAACTATGGGAGACTGGTGAATTTCCACACCTTCACACAAAAATCCGCCGATTTCTGGAATCTATACTCTGTAAACCTAGTGCTGAAAAGGTCACTTTCGTGAAAACGCTCTAGACTCACCTTACCTAATTTGTAGAGGATGGTTGTTTCATTGAATCAAAAACTTTAAGACATTCAGAAGAATAACATGTTATCAACATATCCCTCAATGTTTAGGAAAGGTTGGCAGTTTGAAGAGGAAACGGCAGGCAGAATACTTTACAAAATCGCAGATGACTCGCATGTGTTCCAGTTCCACAGCGAGGCAGAAAGAGAATTTTACGCCGACGAAAATGTTGTCGACATTGATGCAGAGTTGACAATTGAGCGAAACTCTCTGATTTCCTACAAAAGGAATCCAAGCAGATTGCCTAGTTTCAATGAGGAAATGTCCAGGAAGTCCATTGCTGATCTTCAGGTTGCTGAAGATTTCAAGGCTGCTAAATTCACAAACATGGATATGAACAAAAGGAAGGTGTTAGTAACAAAGCATAGCTGCTGCTCTTAGATCCCGACTGGAGTGCAAACCCAACTCTGTGTTTTATGCTTTTGGAAGTTATTCGCCTTGTGACATTATGACCAGTGATATTGAAAAAAAAAACAGCGCGCAGCATAGTATCTACTTTTTTTGGCTATTCCGCAGATGCTGTTATAGAAGAAGTTGAGCAGCTTTCTCATCCGCAAACAGAACGTATGCCAGAGGAGGTGAAGCCAGAGTGCGACAAGGCCCAAAAAAGTGTGCACTATTTCCTTCCCGTGTTGCGAAAGCATATGCGATCTGGCTCTTTTCCCATTACTTACGGCAAAAATCTGATGGACTTACTAACAAAGCTATTTTCTATTCCGACTAGCACGGCAGATGTGGATAAAGAAATTTTCTATCTACTCTGTTATCAGAACACAAGCAGAAGTCGTACAACGATGAAGCATCTAAGCAATCACTTAAGGTTTGTCAACCTTCTACTAAACATATTGTTATCTAAAACTTCATTTAAAGGATTGGTATAAGTGGTCCAGACAAACGTTACCGTATGACTTTTTGAAACATCCTAAAAGATGGTATGAAGAAACTGTCACCTACCTGCTGACTTTCCTTTTGCTACCAGAGGGCCAGGAAAAAAATCACAAAAGCGCTTAGAAGAAGAAGAAAGTTTCAAATCCATTTTCGACTCAGAACGCTTTTGCACGCAATTCTACTTCTATTCCGATGACCTTTTGGAGGAAGAAGAAGATTTTTCAGGCGGCGAACTTGTTGTCTCTGACGTTAGCGATAGTGATATTGTTGATGATGATGTGCAGGAATTGAAGTTGTTCCTAACTTGTTCTTTTGGGATAAACCTTATTGCTTTCGTTCTTTGTTGATGCAATGAAACACGAGCGCAGATTCTTATAAAGTCAATTTTTTTCTAATTTTTAGTTTCTTTTGAAATTTTTAGATTTTTTCAAAAATTTGTGCCTAAATAAAGTACAAATTAGAGCTCTTTATACCACGCTTTTTTACCTTTTCTCTTTTCCTCTCCCCCCCCCCCTAGACTCACGTACCCCCTTCACCCTGGAAGGTCGGGAACAGCCGAGACCCCCTTCACCTGGGGAGAGTCCGGCTCCCCCTATCGCACCTATGATGTGAAGAGGCGGGCTCAGAGTCCTCTCTAAGCAATAAGCTCCCACCGTCCCTCGCGGGAGAGCAAGTTGCTCCTGTAGTAATTCAATCCATAGACACGGTGATATAATGGAAAGCTTCCTTTATCTTGGAAGAGCCACTGGCAAAGCAGCGCCAGTGAAGACAAAATTTGAAGGGTCATTTAGGCTGCGAGAACGAGAAGGACAATAATGACGATCTGTACCTACAACGCATGGACGCTCGCATCGGACGCATCTATCGAAGATCTTTTGATGCAAGCAAAGAAGATCAAGTACTACTCATCGGACGGCCGAGACAAGGAGACTCGCTGGACGTCACATTTAATATTGGGGAAAAACAGTCTAAGGGCCACATGCACTAACATCCCCTCGAGGAAGGGGTTGCAGCTTTAAAGAAAGCTTCATATCCTGAAGTTCTATCTGGATTTCACGTTGTGTACGTAACCGTAGGTATTCCTACTATCCTTCACTATGAACACATTGAACAGCAGCTAGAAGCTGTACAAGCCGCAGTTTCCAGCATTTGTATGATCCCTGATGATCCCCGGCGCTTTTCTTTGAAGTCATTTTTCTTTCTCCAAAGTTAACGAAAAGTTTCCAAAGTTGTGCAGATTATCT